ACTTTGACATGACTAGTTCAGAAGACAGTGCTTTTATCCAGGGAAGAACAGGAGATGCAGAGAGTTTCAAGGATCAGAAAATTTCAGAAAGTCAGAGTCCCGGATCCAAATTGCTTCGGCCCCAAGACTTGGCTGGTCCAGGTCTTCCGTTCCTTTCAAACCTGCTGGTACCACTGCCTTTGCAGGGCCCAAGAAACCAAGAAGAACGGGATGAGACGTCGAATTTCCCGGAGCAACAAAAGTTCGGAAAACTTTTGGGCGCATTGTTGAAGATACCTGGCGAAGGAATTCCGGGAGAATCTATATGTGCTTCCGGTCTCCATGTTCAAGGTGAGGGGTGAATCTACCAAAGCACTTTCGCACTTTTCCAATCATTTCTCTGTCGTCTACATACCTATTTTTTTCATCTGTATCTAAAGCGTCATGCTTTCAAATCTCCTTTGACAACTTTAAAAGGCAAGTCAAACTCATCGCAGAAAATCATGGATGTGAGTACTTAGGGTCTTTCAGGATGGGGACATGGGGGGAACATATCAATAGTCAAGGTGTTGTTTTTTCTCCCACTGCGACAGTTTTGTGTTCTGACACGCTTGCTCTGCAGGGGCATCCCCTAAAGGTGCTGAATTCATATTGCAGGAAGTGCATGCGAATGCAGATGAATCGTTATTTGTAAAGGTGCCACAGTGCCGCTGTCCAATTCACTATCGATTTGGTGCGCAAACATGAATCTGTGCAGAATGAACGGCCCAAAGTTCCCCAGTCAAAGACGTATTCTACGGCAATTGGTGTTCGTTTTTTTGATCGCATCAAAACTTGGCTTGGCCCATTGGCTCAAAAGCCAACATGCTTGGACCCCTTGCACAAGGACTTTGCCCACAAGTTCCCTCCTATGCTCAGCCTTTCCTGTTGAGTGTTTACAAAGCTGCTTGGAGGTCAGGCAGTGGTCACACTCCATGACCTATGCTGGTTCGCACACACACACACACCTAGTAACACATAGATAGATAGATCCATTGGAGTCCTCTACACTACATCATATGAGGCTAGACTGTCATCATATGTCCACTTTCGTATGCATATACAAGTGTATACATTTTGTGCGTATATGCAATGCACGTAGATTCTTAGATTGTGTACACACTGACGATCTAGGATGTACTGCCGACATCTGCATACTGTATACATATATGCTCCTTTTGTCTCTTGCAACGTCAGACATGACAAGACTTGACACGGCGCGGTGGACCTTTAGCAGTCTCCGTCTCCAAAAGAATGGGCCTCCAAGGTTTTGCACCGTTTATGATGGAAAAAAGATGAGAAAAGTCGGGGAACAGATAGTAAAACCATGTAAAACCATGTAAAACCTGAAGCATGTAAGAGCCTGGTGAAACTGCAAGCGCTGTTCATGTTGCAAGGTTGTTTCAATGATGTTGTATTTGTTATAAGTAGGTCCTGACTTTCACACACGATGATGTTTGAACTTGTGTTGCTCAAGAACTAGACGCACATCAATATGAGATCGCGTGTGGGTCAGGCATGTTGAAGAGAACAAAGATATATCGAAGCTGCATCATGTTGCATCATGTTGTTTCATATTGCGTCATGTGCATCTATGACTGTTTAGTAAGTTTAGTACAGAACTTTCTTGTTTTCTCTCAGCCTTGGAGTACCTGAGAGCAGAGGGCTGAGCCTCGAGAGAGGCAATGTTTAGCGCACGGGGACGCGACGCGCAAATTTGATGAGTAGACACAGAAGATCACGGAAGGATCAGAACAAAACAAAACCTGTACAGTGTATGATCATCTATGAATGATGTTATCATCAGTTATCTTCATTCAAAGATTCCAACATAGATTCCTAAAAAAGATTCCAAACAGTCCTTCAAGTACTTTGTTCAAGTCCTTTAAGTCCTTCCAGAGGCCGTTTTGGGCTCCCAGTGCAGGTAAGCTGCACACTGCCGACACAGTGCCGATGTTGAGCTCGGTCTGCCCGGCCAGCACCTTGCTAATCTTTTGGCCACAAAGGACAGGGCGTAGACCCCAAAAACACATCACACACTGCAGTGACATGCAACTTATGCATAGGATAGACATGGATAGACATGTTATAGTCATATTGTGAATATATTGAGAGCATTCTTTGAATAAACATACTGACCTACACAGAAGCATGTGACAGCATGTGACAAATCAAAGTATGAACAAATCTGTCCGGAAGCGGTCAAAAGTACCGCGCTTTGCAGACCTAAAATGGAACGAAGGCAGCTTTCTGTGAGCCTCGTCTGCAGCCAAGAAAATGCCCCTAACAGCGATGGAGCAAAGTGAGATAGTTTGAAGAGAAGCTAAGTTTCAGTTTTGAAGATGTCTTGATATATGTTCATCGATTTGATCTTGTTTTCGGAATTATTTTCGAAGTTGTTTGGAGTTTGAGAATCTTCCGGAGCTTGGGAGCTTCACCACAGTGAGTGATCTTTTTTCGACGTGGTTTCTCATGTTTCTCTGAGTTTTGCTCAGGAATGCTCCTGCCCTCGAACCAGAGCTCCCAGCACAGGCGCCAAGTTTGGGGTATTTGCCGGGATTTGCCGAACTGCCCAAGTCGCATCAACTCGCATGGCAAAAGCAAAAAAGTGAAGAATTCTGAAGTCGCCAGAAGGAATGAGAAGGAAAGTCATTCCCTCGTAAGAGTGAGTGGACACAGCCACATAGAGCGCAAGACAAACAGATGGAGAGAGTTACACGAAGATGTTTCATGACCGACAAGCTTCCAATGAACTGATGTGAATTGAATGTGCGCCATTGCCTCTAAGCTAAGGTGCTGATGTACAGAGCTCTTGGGCTGGCACTTTGCCTTGTAATGCCCAGCCAAGACGAAGTGAAGAGAGTCAAAATACAGTTCTCCAACTTCTCATACAAGCAGATGGTGGCATCGACATATCTATCTACATAGACTTAGAAAGTATAATTACACATATACATACATAAATCGATCATACATGACATATTTCCATGCATATAAAGAATGCTTTATATATGCACATTCGTGCTTGTATAGACGGATTGGACTGGATTAGACTGGATTGGACTGGATTGGACTGGATTGGATTGGATTGACAGATTGACAGATAGATAGTTAGATGGATAGATAAAGATGTAGATAGACATAGTTAGACATAGATGGGCATACATAGAGATAAATAGAAATAGTTGGACTTGTGCGTACTAAAGACGATATAGATTACCACATGAGAAAATGCCTTCAGACAGCCTCATTGCACATCACTCTTGAACAGGGGGATCCGCCAACACTACTTTGTTTTGGGTTGGCTATCTGTGACACTGCGGGAAAGCATGTGCAAACGCCTTCACTAGTTTAGTTACATACATGTCTGGTCTTGCATGCATACATGTTCAGGTTCATAAACCTCACGTGCTCTGAGTGTTGGACTTGAACCTGCATTCAAGCACCAGTAAATCAAACAAGTTGAGCAAGTGGGCAAAGAGCAGGGCGATAGCATGGATGCACATCACACACACACCAAGGTGGAAAGCACGAGATTCCCCATGTCTTCTTGATGAGGTCTTGGATGGTTTGCGCGATTGCAATCGCAATTTTGCAGTCACATGGAGCCAGCTTGCAGCAAGGCAACTGCAAGTGGTTTCTTGTGGATCATGAGCTGCAACCATTTCGTCTGCAACTATCTTGTTCTTCAATCGCGCGGGGCAGGGCTGTTTTTGCTGCAATTTCATGATGCGCCCCGCTGTTTCTCAATCTACCGCTGTTTTTAAAATTGGTTGGCGCTCTCTTAATTGACATTCAGCTGATTCGCACATGTCGCAGGGTCTTCAGACCGAATTCGTACGCAGCAAGACTTGTGCAATCTGCCAAAAAAAGTGAAGTGCATTCTGCATCGCCAATGTACCCTGGTTGCATCCACTTGCATTCTGCTTGGGCAAGCGATGCGGGCTACTGCAGAGGACACAGTCCTGCACACCAAAAGTTGCATATTGGATATTGAGGCCTGATTCTCACCTGATTTAAATTGATTTAAGATATTTTAAGATGGTTGAAATTGGTTGAAGGATGAAGCAATTCCAACGAAGACCCGCCATGTCCCCTGTTTGACTCCTGTGACTCTGTCAGACAGCCCACATAATCAGGAGATGTCAGGAGTTTTGATTGGAAGGATAGTCGGAACCATGTGTCTTCGTCGGCTGACAAGGTCTCATGAGATTCTGTCATTTGATTGCTATAGCTGCTATAGGGTATTGACTCAGTATTGACATGTATTGACACCCGTATAGGCTGATAGTGGACATTAGTGGACCATGATCGGTTCTTGTCGCTGACTGTTTGGAGAAGTGCCAAGATCTGACCCAGATAAGCCCGGATGCGAAGAGACATGGATCGGGGCTAATGAGCCCCAAAACACTCGAAACTGAGATCAGACCGATGCCAGATGCCACCCATTTGGGCTTGGCCTGCGGCGCCAGTCGAGCTAAAATATGCAAACGTCCCGCGCATGCCCCGAATTGTGTGAGTGTCGCCTGTTTGTTCTGCATCATGTTGCCCGAAGTAATCCAAGCAGAGAAATGAGGAGCTACTCTTGGAAGCCTTGGTATCATATGGAAGTACCTCCGGGGAAGCAGGGACTTGGGATGTTTGGGCTGTCAACAAGTGCAGTTTCTTTTAGATCGTGACATGTTCAGGTCAGAGCCGTAACCACTGGATCCAGGAAGCATGTATGAAGACTCAATGAAGACAGAGATAGAGCATGTTGGAGCAGCACCGCTGCCAGCTGCATTCAGCAACCTCGACTTGTGATCATAAGGTTTCCCACTCAGTTCGGAACATTGTTGTATTGTTTGTCACCTCTTTTTCCTTTCAACCAGAAATGCATCGGAAATTCCTATTACAAAACAAATGGTTTGTTTTCGGGAATTTGTTTCATATTGTTCGGTTGGAAGCAACAATGAAGCGCAACTAAGCCTTCAACTAAGCCTTCCGGGATCCCCTCCCGGCAGCCTTCATCCGCACTGTGCTGGGCAGCATGTCAAGGTGTGGCATGCCGATGCAGTCAGAAGTTTGTTCGCAGGCACACTGTTGCCCGCGCCTGTGTCGCCTGCATCGTGCGTCAAGGTCAAAGCCCAACATCTTGGTGACGGGCACTCCAGGTGTCGGAAAGACCACCTTCTGCGAGGCAGACAAGAGATGAAAGCAATTGAATGTAGAAACAAATTAAAACATTCAAAGCTGACATACGTTTCCCATTTAAGGATAAGGTATGATAAGATAATAGTATTGAGTATTGAATAATATTAAATAATGTAATATATATATATTATAACATAATGTAATATAATATAATATAACGTAATGTAATGTAATATAATATTATTAAATATAATATAATTTGATTTAATTTAATACAATATAATATAATTTAATATAATATAATTTAATATAATATAATTTAATTTAATATAATATAATTTAATTTAATATAATATAATATATAATATAATTTAATATAATACAATATGATATAATACAATGCAATATAATAATATATGATATTATATGATATAATATAATATAGTATAATATAATATAAGATAATTTAATATAATATATATTCAATATAATAATATAATATAATATAATATGATATTTTATTACACAATTTAACATAACATAATAAAATATAATATAATGTAATATCATGTAATATCGCATTCGCCCGCAAATCCAGAAAACATGGTTTTTGGCTTGTGTTTACACATAGTAGCTAGTTCCGTAGTAGTTTTTGCTAGGCATCGAAATAAAAAGTAGTCAGTATAGGAGTCAGAAATCGCACCCACATAAACAAGCAGGAGTGCCTGGATTTAAAGTAGAACCAATGGAGGGCCAGACGCATCGCCTATTTTCTTCGCATATCGCCTAGTTTTCATCAAGTTCGTATGTGTTTTTTGTGAAACGCATGGTTTTCGAAGAACCGACCAAACAAAATAGTACCGACACAAACAACCAAAATACTGTATTTTGGTAGTATGATTTTCAAGGCATGATATTTCCAATGACATGTAGCGAAGGCTTTAGATCTTCAATGTGAATTAATTCAATGCATTCTTGAAAAATCATGAAGTTCACAGGCACTGAGAAACATAGCGGTTGGGCTTTTCGAGGCCCTGGCAGCTGCAACAAGCCTTGACCATTTGGAGGTGAGCTCTGTGACAGTCACATGTTTGATTTCGTCCGCAACGACCATATTAAAACATGATGAGATGACTAGATGCTGCATTGTATATAGGTGTATGGGACGGATATGCCATTTTTGCAGGTCAGCAAAATTGTCAGAGAAAAACGGTGTCCGACTTACCTCTCGTATGATAGTTTTGCAATGTTGAGGAGATAGCAAGATGCTCATAGCCAGCTTTGCATTGCAAGAGTTGCTGGACACAAGCGGCTTGCTGAGGCTGTACCGTGAATGGGACGATGAACTGGATACTGGGTGGGAGATGGCGGGAGACCAAAGTTTGATCGGAGAGGAGTCAAAGTTATGAGGCAGTGGAGGATGGAGGTGATGCCACCATTGGATGCCCATGTCCAGAAGGAAAAGATGGAAAAGTAATGTCCCGTGGGAGCTGCAGGGTGTTTCAACATGTTGTATTTGAGCTGGAAGGACTGCAGCATCTTCGATGAGGAGATGGTCACGAGCTGAGTTCCAAAATGTAAGAGAACACATCAGACAAGAATAATAAAGAAGAAACAATCCAGAAAGTACATATTAGCAAAATGAAAATAGCAAAGATAAATAGAGCCGCCGCAAGAATTCATACTTACACCAGAAATCGAAGCTGTGTGCATCGCGCCAAAGTTGAGATGCATATTGGACTTCCAGCACAACTAGCAGAAACAGAATTCTGGACGGCTTGTTTTTACTGGAATTTGCGTTTGGTGAGCCCTTTTCAGATTCACGTGAATTGGCTCACGCTTGGTCAAGGTTCAGGATGCCCTTGAACCATTGCTGGACAGCGCTCTTTTTGCCCAAAAGCTTTTTGTCCGGATGTTTTAGTTTCAAAACGTTTGAAAACATCATCCGAAGCCAGTTGCAAGTTAATGTCTTGTTGCCTTGCTTTCGGACTGCAGTAGCATGCAGTAGCACGCAGCTCGGATGGCTTCAGGAGCCTGGAGGTTGTGTGGTTGACTTCCATTCTTCGAGCTTTCTGGACGAATTCTCCTCAGTTTACGCTCCTGTAAGCCCTTGGCTTGCCAAAGCTCACAAGGGATCTCAAAACTGCGCGCTCGACATCTTTTGATTTCATGTACAAATTGGCTTACTCCGACTTTCCTTACAGCTTTGCTGGCGCTTTGTATAGCTTCAGGAAAGTCTGTTGGACTTGGTGGTAGTTCTTCGAGTCGACACAAGCGTTCGAGGCCTTAGTTTTTTCGCAGACGCACATCAATAACTTCAAATTGCCGCGAAACGGCCATGTTTTACTGACAGGTTAGCCAATGTGCTGTTCTCCTGGTTTGATTCGCTTTCATGAATCCGCCTACTGCTTCTACTCTATAGGCTGATGGATAATGCAACAGAATGAATCACAGTGGTATGGTCATGATATGGCCTTTTTCCATTTTTTTCCGACCTGTCGCTCGGGCTTTCGGATGGGCAGATAATGTCCTTGCTGAGACCTTGTATGATCGCCTGGAGAAAAGACATTATCCTGAGAGCAAGGTCAAACAGAACGTCGAGGCGGGACCCAGAGATGTCCTATGGGGTTCGGCGCAAGCAGGTGCAGGAGAGCACAGGGCGAGCTGGCATTGCAATGGCGGATGCGCTTTTTGTGTCTTGTCTCAGGCAGAAATTTTCCAGAGCTGTCTCGACGAAGTCAGGGAGGCATGTTGCTCCAGGATCTCAACGTAGCTCCCAACAGAATCTGTGAGCAGAATGTTATTCAATGTGTTTATTCACGCGAATGAGGCTTAAATCAGCTGCCCCTGTTTTCTTTCATGATAAGCGTGGATTGTTTGAATGACTTCTGTGCTGCGACTCCGTGGATTTGCCCATGCTTCCACGCGAGGTGTTCGAAGAAACTGACATCCAGATATGGGAAATGCCCCATGACACCGAGGCTGGACAGACATTGAACCATGCTCAACCAATATTCCAAGTACTCCTATCACAAGTGGCATGGTCTGTATCTTCTTCGTATATATTATTATATATTGTACTACCATCTCCTCTATAAAATGAGAGGGGTCAAGGCATGCCATATTTCGTTTTATGTACCTCCAGCTGCAGCCCTTCAGGGGGTCACTCACCCTATTTTATAGTGATTTTAAGGTTGTAGGTAAAATCTGTCGAGATTTGTTCAGGTTTTTGCAGTGCAGCCATGATCCAGGTTGTTCTTATCCACGGCCATTGATCATTGATCAAAGATGCCTCGGGTGGGGGCACAACCTCTGAAAGGGAGCCCGGCCCTGTGCCATGTGAAGACATGCTCAGGGAAGATGGGCAAACCATTTCTTTGCATTCCTTCATTTTGGTTCCAATGCTGCCCAACTGCCACCACACAAAAGGCTGGCTTCAACCTTTCAACCCACTATGAAATTGGTTATTGAGCCAGCATCTGCCATCCTTTTGCATTCCTTGATGCCAGCCCTGGCGTTTCAACGGGCCATTTTGGAATAGTGTGTGGCTACTTGTATGATTTCCAAGTGCTGCCACTATAAAATGGCTGGCCTGAACCTTTCAACCCACCATGAAATTGGTGGTTGGGCCAGCACCTGCCATTCTTTGGGGTTGAAATTGCCGGGCAAGCTGGGTATTCAACCCAATCACCAATTTCAAATTGGGTTGGTGGGTTGAAGCTAGCCATTTGATAGTGGCTAGATTTGGGAAATTGTGCAAGTAGCCCACATTAAAACACAGTAGCCCACATTGTGCTATCTTGTGGGCTACTTGCGCAAATCTAGCCACTATCAAATGGCTAGCTTCAACCCACCAACCCAATTTGAAATTGGTGATGGGGTTGAATACCCAGCTTTCCAGGCAATTTCAACCCAAAAGAGTGGCAGGTGCTGGCTCAATCACCAATTTCATGGTGGGTTGAAAGGTTGAGGCCAGCCATTTTATAGTGGCAGCACTTGGAAATCATACAAGTAGCCCACGCTGTTCCAAAATAGCCCATTGAGAGGCCAGGGCTTGCATTTGGAGGCATTGGAAGCAAAATCCAGGAATACAAAAGGATGGCAGATGCTGGCTCAATCACCAATTTTATGGTGGGTTGAAAGGTTCAGGCCAGCCATTTTATAGTGGCAGCACTTGGAAATCATACAAGTAGCCACACACTATTCCAAAATGGCCCATTGAAACGCCAGGGCTGGCATCAAGGAATGCAAAAGGATGGCAGATGCTGGCTCAATCACCAACTTTATGGTGGGTTGAAAGGTTGAGGCCAGCCATTTTATAGTGGCAGCACTTGGAAATCATACAAGTAGCCCATGCTGTTCCAAAATAGCCCATTGAGAGGCCAGGGCTTGCATTTGGAGGCATTGGAAGCAAAATCCAGGAATACAAAAGGATGGCAGATGCTGGCTCAATCACCTATTTCATGGTGGGTTGAAGGTTTAAGGACAAGTAGCCCACACTATTCCAAAATTGCCCATTGAAAGGCCAGGGTTGGCACTGGGCGGCATTGGAAACAAAATGAAGGAATGGCAAAATCAAAATGAAGGAATGGCAAACTGGTTTGATTCTAAGTTAGGTGCTGAAATCTGTTGACTTGCGCCTTGACCATTTGTAAAGGGAACCAGTCATTTTATAGAGATTTTAGAAGTAATTTCCAGGTGTTCTGGGGTCAGGCCCCCTCAAAATATAGTGTTTTCATTTGGGTTGGGGCCACTCATTTTATAAGCAGTGTCTAGTCATTTTATAGTGAAAACAATTTTATGTCTATAAAATGGCTTGCAGGACCCCCTCCCGTGTATGTTCATAGGGATTATACTACTATAATATATATATATATATATATTTATATTTGTGTATATATCCTTATCATCTTCGTATACTCCGGGCGGTGTATATATATATATATATACTGTATATATATATATATACATATTTTATCTTTACTAGTAGTAGATGTGTATATATATATATAAACGAAAATCAAAACACACGAGAAACCCGGCACTTAGAACAAATCGGAAAACCTGGTACTTAGAACAAAAACGGCCCAAACCTGGTACTTAGAGCAAAAAATACACCCCCGTAGACCCCAAACAGTTGTTCCATATCCATTGCAGCGTTTGTGTGCATATTTGTGGTTACACTAGCTCCTGATGCTGGCGATGTTTTACCCATCTCAATTGAGCAAAGCATGGATCACAAACAGCATTTTCTCATGCCACATGGTTTCGATTTTTTGCCGCGCATTTGCATCTGAGACAATAAGAGGGAGACAAGGTAGGAGACAAGTGGGAGACAAGTGGTTTTAAACGCATGAAAACCATGGTGAAACGTGGTTTTAACTTGACACAACAAGAAGACACAAAGGGATGTAAAGAACAGAGACAAACACAAAACACGAATGAAATCACGATGAAACTCGAACAGGACACCGGCACTGGGGCAGGCATATCAATGATTGGAGACAAATGACGTCGGAGACAGATCAAGTAGGAGACAAATGGTGAGAGACAAATGATGGAAGACACACAAAGGCGAACAGGCGAAAGAGCCGGACACCACCACAAGGGCAGACCGAAAATTGGATACAAATTTGTTGGGAGAAATAAACTGGGAGACAAATTGCGAGAGACAAATGATGAGAAACAAATGAAACAAAGAAAATCTGGAGAGCCGGACGCCACTAGACAAAGTGGAAGAAAATTGGAGGGAGACAAGTGAAGAGACACATCGACGGACGCCACCAAAGAGGGAGCCAAATGATGCGAGAGAAGTAAAGAAAAACATCCGGAGAGCTGGGAAGCGCTAGGTGCACTGGGAGACAAACGAAGGGAGACAACAAAAGAGAGACATCCGAGAGCCGAACATGAATACAAGCACACTTGGAAACAAATGAAGGGAGACAAGTAAAGAGAGACATCCCGAGTACTGGGAGACAAATAAAGGAGGCAAGTGAAGAGAGACATCCGAAGAGCCAGACACTAGTACAGTATAGGCATTAGGAGGCACATGAAGGGAGACAAGTAAACAAAGACATCCGGAGAGCCGGACACCATTAGGCACACAAGTTAGGAGAGGCACTACTACGCACACTGGGAGACAAGACAAGAGAGACATCCAGAGCGCACACTGGAAGACCAGCAAAAGGGAGACAAGTAAAGAGAGACATCCGGAGAGCCGGACAGCAGCAGGCACACTGGGAGACACATGAAGGGAGACAAGTAGTAAAGAGGGACATCCTGGGAAACAAATGGCGAGAGGCGTCTGGAGAGCCGGGCGCCACCAGCCAGACTGAGAGACAAATGAAGGGAAACAAGTAAAGAGAGACATCCGGGGCCTGCTGTTCTTTCACACCCCCGATCGAAGTTTTACATCTTTTCACATGGCACACGCGCGCACCCACACCCACACACATGCACACAAACGCACATCCGTGCACTCATACACACATGATAGGTTTTTTTTTGTTTAATAGACAAACACACACACTCACTAGAAAAGAACTGGATCATTGTAGTGATCTATTGGGAACTGAATCCCATCACGTGCAATTAGATTCAACATGATTCAACCAAGGACCTAAAGTAGATCTCCTCGAAGCGGTATACGAGTAATATGAAGGAATTCCGATAAAGTCAATCACGATCAGAAACAGGTTCAAGTAGACCCCAAGATAGAATATCATAGACAAAGTCCCCAAGTAAATAAATAAATTGTCGCGGTAGGGTTTTCGGCTTAGCCCTTCGCCATGTCCGAAGAATACCAAGGAAACCAAGTTTGAAATGACGTCGAAAATAGACTCAAATTGCGGCAACCGTGGAAAAACGAAATTGCTGTTGGGGTTCTTGGCTTAGCCCCTTGCCATTGCAGTAAATCTCAAGAAGCAGGTACGTCGATGAGCGTCCCCATCGATATCACAGGCGACTGATGAGTGTCTTTGTTAGTGCCGGTCTCATCAGTGCCTCCGGCACCCCCTGCTGTTCGAATAAATCCTAGAAAGAATAAGAACAAGAACAGAATCCAAATGCACCACAAAGATGAGTCTTGAAGTTTTACGTTTGCACAGACGGTACACACACACAGACACACACACACACACAATCACACACATACACACACTTGCAAAGAACTGTCATTGCGAATTTTGTTGTGGAATGCATCGGACGTGCAAAAACACACCAAAAAATTGACACGGAGAATGAATACAATTATAATCAGTTATATATATATATAGACGTATAATCACAGTAGACAATGACCGTATAAAACAACAGCAAAAATATAAATATGTCCCCCCAGCTGCGACTTATATGCGCCCAGGGGCGGGACTATATATACCAGTAGTACACAGGTTCATGCGTCCATGAACCCATCCACCACATCTTCCGTAGCTTCGTTGGGCAACATAGGAAGATGGGCTGTTGCCCCCCTGCATTAGTATGAAGTTTTACATCTATACAGATGGTACACACACACGCCCCGCAGCAGCGGGGCAGATGAAATGACAATGAAAGTGAGATGAAAGTGAAAGTGAAATGACAATTTACTTAACCAGGACGCGAAGAGGAGAACGCAAGAGAAGAGGGAAAGAGCAAACACCAACACGACACACCTAGCCCAGAGCGGGCAAAACCCCGAAAAGACAAGGGAAAAGAAAAGCGGATGCCGACGGACACGGAACCAGACCAGCGGAGGAGGGGGAGGACGGAAGCGCCTGAACCAACCTAACACGGGGAAACCTAAGCCTACCTCAGCACGCGCAGGACCCAACCTACCTGGAGAGGGAAAGAACACATGAAAAGGGACCCAGGGGGAACTAGTTAGTGAAATGATGCAACCACATGTCATGCAAAAGTCGTGATAAGGCTCAAAGGCCCTCCGTTTTCAAGTCAAAACCCTGTGGACAGCTGACGTATTCAACCCTCGAATCGGTGCACAACTGTACCGTACCAGATCAACCAAAAGAAAGTGACCACACCTGGAAAGCATGTCCTGAAGCCTGTATCCTGCAATGTTGCATTTACCAATAAAAGCTGAGCAGTCTCTTGAGCATCACTGAAAAAGGAGGTTGTCGCAGTCGCAGCTTCCAACTATGCATATCACTGCCAGTCACAAAACGGTGATTCCCCAGCACAACGGGCAATTGTTCAACACATCGACCTCGACAGGGTGAAAAGCTGAAAAGTGAACGATTGTTTCACTTTACTCAAACGAATTACTAATTCAAAAGTGTGAATTCGGAGGTCGAGTCGTAGGATCAAACGTTCGGCTAGCGAGCCGTTCCCCGAAGGGCTCATACCATCATGACGAAGTCAGTATGAGTAACACACTTGCAAAGAACTGTCATTGCGAATTTTGTTGTGGAATGCATCGGACGTGCAAAAACACACCAAAAAATTGACACGAAGAATGAATACAATTATAATCAATTATATATATATATGTATATAGACGTATAATCACAGTAGACAATGACCGTATAAAACAACAGCAAAAATATAAATATGTCCCCCCAGCTGCGACTTATATGCGCCCAGGGGCGGGACTATATATACCAGTAGTACACAGGTTCATGCGTCCATGAACCCATCCACCACATCTTCCGTAGCTTCATTGGGCAACATAGGAAGATGGGCTGTTGCCCCCCTGCATTAGTATGAAGTTTTACATCTATACAGATGGTACACACACACACACTTACTTGCTCAGAATTGTCACTACGGATTTTGCTGTGGAATGCATCTTACGTGCCAAAACACTCCGATTACACCTGACAGGAATGGGTCGGTGAAGAGACCCGACAAGGTTTCAAAACGCTATCATCGTCATAGCCAGTGCTGAAAACGATGGAATTGGAAGCTGACCCTTCCCCTTTGCAGTTTAGAGTAAAATTGAAATTGAAAACGACGTGCCGGTTCTTAGCCGGTCGCCATACACGACAAGCATAGATCTGTAAGAAATTGAAATGGAAAAAGCAGGTACGTGACTCCAGCGTCCCAGAGTCATATCAGTCATGAATGCAGCCCTCTTCGTTGGGCAATGAGCTGCAAACATGAGATTGCTCCCCTGCAAATCTGAAATGAATACAAAACCTAAAACAGAATACCGGAAGTCCAACAGGTTAGAAGTTTTACATCTCTGCAGATGGTTCACACACACTAGACAAGAAAGGATCTTCATATAGATCCGATGGGAACTGAATCCCCCATACATGCAAATTAGATTGGAAACAATGACTCAATGACCTAAGGAAGACCTCCTCGATTAACATCGCGAACAAATAAGAAGTATCCCGAAATGTAATCCAGATTCGAAAATAAGCCAAAAGACCATCGAAGTGGTGGACATGTTCATGAAAATCGGCGAGGTGGTTCTTGGGTTAGCCACGTCCCATTGCAGAAAATTGACATGAACAATGAAATTTGAAGCAGGTACGTCAAAGGGACGTCTCCCTTTGATATCACTGCGACTTCTGGCCGTCTTCGTTGGGACAGGAACCAGAGTCACACCTGTGCCCCCTGCATGAGATAGAAGTTTTACATCTGTTCAGATCTTACACACACACACACGCACACGCTTGCTCAGAATTGTCTTATCGGATTGTGAAGCGGAGTGCATCAGACGTGTGTCCAAAACCCCAACAAAACAAATTGGCACAATGAAAATGAATATAGATATATATATATATATATGCATGAATGATTGATATAGGAGACGTTGACAATATAAAACAACAGGGATATACTGCTATATGTCCCCCAGCTGCGACTTACATGCGCACAGGGGTGGAACTATATCAAATTTGCGGGCACAGGAGTGTGCATCCACACACCCTTCCGGCTGAATCCCAGAGCTTCATTGGCACGGCTAGGGAAACAGCTGCCATACCCCTGCATAAATAAAACCTTTTACATCTATTCAGATGGTTCACACACGCACACACATATATATATATCTCTATATCTATCTATATATATATATATGCGTTTTTTTAAGATATACACACGCAAACTGTACACTAATTCATGCATCGGTTTCCTGTAGCAGGGGTCAGGGGAAGACCGCTCTTTGAAAAACTCATGCGAAACATTGCGTGGCTCAGTTACAGAATGGCTTGAAGAGGTAGTTTGTTCCTCGATACCAAGATCTCCCGCGAATCAAGAGCAAATAGAAAGGAACAAATGGAGGCTGCGCTGGAACGGGTCCAGTCCGGCTCCCAGACTTGTAGACGAATGGAGGCGGTTCTCTGCTTTGAAACAGATCAAAAGAATATTTTTTGTGTTTGCTCGCAGCTTGCGACGTTGCTGATTGAAAAAGAGCGCTATTCTTGACTTCTTGTGTTGTTGTGAATTTGGATCCATCTATGATGACTGAAGCCAACACTTTTGCCAAGGGAATTCACAAGGACCTTCGCTTGACTGACGTTCACCAATCTGGTGGACCGGTAGCAGCAGCTCGGGTTTCACCATCGGAGCATTGAAGACAGTGGCAGAAACGCAGCTAGTTTTTAAGTCAAGTAAGCAAATGAGCGCAGATGAGCGCAAACAATTTCCCACCGGTATCATAAGCCTTCTGAAAACGTGACGTGTTCATACATGTTCATGCATCTGTGCGTCAGCAGGTAGGAGGGCACGTTGACGTTTCAATCCTTCTGTATGCTATAAAGGATTAAATTGTAAAACCATCCCTGTGCACATTTCCACTATGAAATGGCTGGACCCATGTTCCATTTCGGGGGCATTTTTCTAACAAACGGAGGCATTTTGTAAGGAAATTTTCCTGGTCAACCATGCCATTTTGTAAAAGGCATGTTTTTTGTTGGGCGAATCATTTTGTAAGAGCCAACATTCTTTACAAAATGACGTCGGGGCCAATCATTTCATAACAACGCTATTTTGAGTTCATTTCAGAAAGTGCAAAGGAGGGTATTGAAATCTTGACCATGCCCAGGAACCAGGTTTTCTTCTCCAAAACTTTTTGGGTTCCCTCATTGATGTGTGAAGATTGGGTGCTGCCGAAGCTTCGGGGACTGGGAAAAATGGTTGCGGTCTTTCCCGGGGAAAGTGGGGTATGTACAAGTTAGACATATTTCCAAACCAACCAATCTATAAGACACAAGCTTATAAGATGATTGGGATGGGGCCTGGAAATAAACTTGGGGCATGCATTTTGTAAGGCGCCGATTTTTGGTTTGTTTTTTTGGTTCACCGGTGTTTCCTGGGGAATCACACCAAGCCTCGAACACCACCCATCTTGTAAACTCCAAACCATGAGACTTTGTAAGCTCAACACCTTGTGCCCCTACAAAATGGTTGCCCTGACGTCACCTGGTAAATGCGCAGGGGGATGTAAAACCTATGTTCAGAGTTTTTCTCAACGAAATTGAAAGCGCCAGCTCCACGCGTATCCAGCCTAGCGAACAGCTGCAATCCGAAGCAAACTTTGCTGCTGTCGCACTTGCATAGCTCCAAGTGAATGTTTCGTCTGCCTGCGCAAGCCTAGCCTGTGCCTCGACGTTTTCTGCGCAAGTACATCAAGCAGATTCCGCATTTCTATTTGCCGAAGAGCTCCCGCGACTCTGCACGGCATTCGCGCCAATGCCTTGGAGGATAATACTAGGCTTGGCTCTTTTAAAAAGCGTCTGTGTGAAGGCTTCTCTGTGTGAAGGCTTCACTGTATAAGAGCGTTTGTGTGCGTGTAAAAGTTTTTCCGCATCAAAGCTTGTCTGTGTAACAAATTCTGTGTAAAGGCGTCGGCGTGTAAAAACTTCTGCACCCTGGGCGTCAATGTTGAAGTTTACCTCCTACGCGGACAATGTTGATGTTTGGGTTGGTTAAACATCGACGTTCTCAATGTTGATGTTTAAACCCTGTGAAGAAATAAATGGACCTTGGAAGTGCAAAACCATCATTCATATATTCAGCATTCCAATTTTCCAACGTGTTGAAGCCTTGGAACTGAATTTGAAACCTACAAGATCCTACAAGTATAGAATATCCGGACGGAAAACAAATCCAGGAACCATATTTGCAAGTATTTGCATTTTTACTGTCAGGGTTTACGGACAAAATATGGGACCTAAAATGGTTTTGGAAATGTGCCACTCCAACAAGCTCATGTTACAGATTGATATTTTCATTAATGCCCCAAGAAATCGGGAAATCAGTGTGGCCACTGGAGGACCAGACAAACCCCTTTGTTAAAGCACCTCTCCCATGGTGTCTTTTGTTTCCAAGATTGAGTTTCGGGGGATCTAGGGCAAAACACCCGCTCTCATGCAAACATATGTACTGTTGAGTGAAGACAAACCAAAATACTTTGGGAAAATCTGTGTCACATGTGATTCAAAGTGATATCGCATGAGTTTGACTAATAAAGCATGTTCAAGATAAAGGTCCGGCAGCAGTACAAAAGTTCGAGAAATTTGCCGCACCACATGTCTCAAGGGTAAACATCGACATTGATGAGTAAACAACGACATTACACAAATGCGTAGGTAAACTTCGACAGTAATGAAATGCGTAGGTAAACATCAACATTGGACTTCCAGGGTGTATATAATTAAAGGCATTGTTCTGTGAAAGCTTCTTTGTCTAAAGGCTTCTCTGTATGTGAAAGCTTCTGTGTGTGTTCAAAGACGTCTGTGTGTAAAATCCTCTGTGCATAAAAGGTTCTGTGCATAAAAGATTTTCTGTGCGAAAGCCTCTGCGTGTATAAATCGTATAAGTTTCTCTGCGTATAGGCGTCTATGTGTAAAACCTGCCCCGCGCCTGTGTGTGAAGGTGCCTGTGTGTAAAAAACTTCTGTGTAACAGCTGCTTCGTGTAAAGGCATTTCTGTGTAAAATCTGTTCTGTGTAATGGCTTTTCTGTGTAGAAGCTCGTATGTGTAAAGGCTTCTGTGTGTAAAAGCTTCTGTGTGCAAAAGCTGCTCCGTGTAAAAGTTGGTCTGTGTAGGAGACATTTGTGTGTAAAAACTTTTGTGTGGAGCAATTTTTCTCTGTAAACCCTAGATTTCCAAAGTCTGTTTTAAAAATGTTTTTTCTGGGAAAGACCATTTCGCGGTTTTTGGAAACGGTCTTTCGCAATTACGGCATGGTTTAGTTCAAGCTTGTAGATTATCATTCGTCAACAAATTTTAGACGATGCTGCATCTCACTGCATGTAGAGACAGGCTCATCCATGATCTGAGCCACGTTTCATGTGGGGCCCCGGCTTATACACAGACAACTTAATACGGCGATATGGGGGGGGTGCAAATTTACACACAATATGTAGCTGACATAAAATTATGCAGTTCAAAACCCCAAAAGGGCAAACTGTTCCAAATGAGTATTTACTGATTTTAGAGTAGCATGAATACAGAAATAGATGATAAACGTTTCCGGTCAAGGCAAATCAGAAGAAGCCTGGCAGCAAACATCTGCTTTCATATAGATACTGAGAAGTTTGCTGCTTTCACCTGGGGCAACTCAAAGTGGGGGATCGATTGTTCCTTTTGTCGTACTGAGTCTTTTGTTTGCTAGCTGACAATCGGGCCAGCAGGCCCTGTCGATGGGCAACGCCCCCGGCCCGTTAGGGCCGTACCGTTAGGTATTTAAGCGCTTACGCGCGACAGCCGGCCAGGGGCCCAACTATGTTGGCCCATCTTGTGGCTATATGTTGGCCTTTGTTGGCCTCATGTTGACCCATGTGGAGCCAAAAGATCTGAAAAATGGGAACAGCAAAAAAACGCTGTAAAACGCTGGATATTTTGATGGTCGGCGGCCTATCTTGGGGCTATGTTGGCCCATCTTGGGGCTATGTTGGCCTATCTTGAGGGCAATGTGGGCCCATCTTGGGGCTATGTTGGCCCATCTTGGGGCTATGTTGGCCCATCTTGGGGTATGTTGGCCCATCTTGGGGCTATGTTGGCCCATCTTGGGGGCTATGTTGGCCCATGTTGGGGCTACGTTGGCCCATCTTGAGGCCTATGTTGGCCCATGTTGACCCATCTTGAGCCACAAAGGCCGAAAAATGGGAAAATAAGCGAAGAGCACAAAACACCGTAAAACGCGGGGGTTTTTGGCGCGGCGGCCCCTCTCTCCTACGGACGGAGAGGAGAGAAACGCCTACGGCTATGCCACGGCCAGGGGGCCCCTGGCCGGACTAGGGGGACCCCTGCCGCCGACCCACTAACGCCACGTAATTTACGGTGTTTCGTGCTCTTCGACAGAAACCAACTTGACAATTTCCAAGGGGCACCCCTAGCCTCAACATAGCCCAAGATGGCCCAAGAAAGGCCCAACATGGCCCCAAGATGGCCCAAGATGGCGCAACATGGGCCCTAGATGGCTCCAAGACGGCCCAACATAGGCCCAAGATGGCCTAACGTAGGACCAAGATGGCCTAACGTAGGACCAAGCTGGCACAACATAGGCCCAACATAGGCTCAAGATAGCCCAATGTAGGACCAAGATGGCACAACATAGGCCCAACATGGCCTCAAGATCGGGCAACCTGACCCGAATATGGCTGAACAGTACTACAACAACAACAACAACAACAACAAAAACAAAAACAACAAAAACAAAAAACAAAACAACAACAACAACAACAACAACAACAACAACAACAACAACAACAACAACAAGAACAAGAACAACAACAACAACAACCACAACCACAACAACAACAACAACAACAACAACAAGAAACACAACAGCAACAGCAACAACAACAGCAACAACGACAACAACAACGACAACAACAAGAACAACAGGAACAACAACAACAACAAGCACGATCAACAACAACAACAACAACAACAACACCAACACCAACACCAACACCAACACCAACACCAACACAACAACATCATCATCAACAACAACAACAACAACGAGCATGACCAAAAACACCACCACCACCACCACCAACAACAACAACAACAACAAGCACAAAATCAACAACAAAATCAACAACAACAACAACAACAAGAAGAAGAAGAAGAAGGACAACCATCACGACAACAACAATAGCAACAACAACAATAGCAACAATAATAACAACAACAACAAGAAGAACAACAAGAAGGACAACCATCATGACAACAACAATAGCAACAACAACAACAAGAAGAAGAAGAACAACAGCAACAACAGTAACAACAACAACAACACCAACAACCTCAACAACCACAACAACAACAACAAACACAACAGCAACAACAACGACAACAACAACAACAGGAAGAACAAGAACAACAGCAGCAACAACAACAACAACAGCAATCCTGCACCTTTCGGGCCTGCTGGCCCGCTGTTGGGCGTCAGCCCCTTAAATTTGTCTTGGTCCTGTTGATGCTGGTGAATTTGCGCTTAAGACCTTTCCACTCAATGTGAGAAGTGAATCAGACAAACAAGCAATCTGGAAAGAGAACAACAATGCAAAGTGCAGTGGGAACAATTATGTAATCATGACCATTGTCAGAAGCTAAAAAGAATTAAAGACATGTT